ATGGTTGATAATTATGGCCTTTACTAATGATTTAAAATGAAATTTTCGGACCGTATTTTTAAGGATGTTACAAAAGGACTGCTACCTGCTCCCAGAAATAGACCAGAAGGTAGAGTCCTTGCACGGTTTTCGGTGGAAATGTTACCTAGACGCATACAAAGGGTACCATCAAATCCTCATGAGCAAGGAAGACGAGGAGAAGACTGCCTTTTATACAGACCATGGAGCTTTTTGCTACCAAAAAATGTTGTTCGGATTGAAAAACGCAGGCGCAATTTACCAGAGATTGGTCGATTCCCTTTTTGTCAACCAAATTGGCCGAAATTTCGAAGTCTATATGGACGTGATCATAAAGATCCGAGACGAACAGAGGCTGCTGGCGGACGTTGAAGAAACCTTACGGTGCCTAGAGAAAGTAAAGATGAAACTGAACCTCGCAAAGTGCACCTTCGGGGTAGAGGAAGGACAGTTCCTAGGATATTACATTACAAAAGAAGGAATCCAGCCCAACCCCACCAAGATAACGGAGCTCAAAGAAGTAACATCGCCCCGCATGCTAAGAGATGCCCAAGGCCTGAACGGTAAGCTAACGACGCTGAGCCGCTTCATTTCCAAGTTAGCTGAGAAGGCGATGCCACTATTTGACATGCTTAAAGGGTGCACTGAGAAAAACAACTTCCGTTGGATGCCGAAAGCTGAAGTAGCCCTACACCAAATAAAGAAAGCCTACACACGCTACCTACATTGGCCAGCCCAAGTGGTGAGACACTCCAAATGTACTTGTCAGCATCTAACGAAGCCTTCTCGTCAATACCGGTAGTGGAACGACAAGGAAAATAGCTCCCCATTTACTTTGTTAGCCGAGCGCTACACGGACCAGAGCTCATCTACCCCATCATTGAAAAGATAGTACTGGTGTTGGTGTACGCTGCCCGGTGACTGTGGCGATATTTCCAAGCACACCAAATAAAAGTTCTAACTAGTTGCCCAATTAAACAAGCGCTCTTGAAGCCAGAAACCTCAGGATGCCTCGCAAAATGGGCCATCAAATTGGGAGAACACGATATCGCCTACCACCCTTGAACGAGCATTAAAGGCCAGACGCTAGCAGATTTTTTACTAGAGATACCAAGAGAGCTGCAAAAGCAAATGGAAGAGAGCACGCACAGGGAGATGCAACACGAAGAAGACGGGCAGGCTTGGACCCTATATACCGATGGGGCCTCCAGCAAAGAAGGATCTGGGGCAGGCCTCATCCTAACTAGCCCCACATGCACAAGATTCATTATGGATTGACATAGACAGTAGTTCACGTCTAGAAACAAACTACTGCCCCTAACAACACATGAAGATGTGTCATCCATCAACATCCAATTCCAAGAGCTCAAAGCTACAATTGATGTATAACGTAAGTATATCAATATTCTCGTTGTTTCATACATCAAGTTGGACATTGTACATGGAACGTAATCATTCTCATTTGTCGTCAAACTTTAAGTAGGGCGCCTTAGATGTCTAACTCTCAACACAAAAGAGGAACAAATCCCATCTTGACTACATACGCACTCTCATGTAGTTCATGTTATACCCAACAATGGGTTTTATAACTGCACTGTTACAAAGAACGTTTGACCATGTCAAAGCACAAAAATTCCTACACTTAAGTCCCTAATATGTATCTTAGGTTGAAAGAAATAAAGATAGTTACCATTGTTCAAGATTAACTTATGATAACGATCCAATATGTGATTCTTGAAGCGGGTCATATCCAGTAGTTGTTCTCCAACAAGTACATATGAATTTGGATGCAACACTTTTCTATTTCATCACATGAAATAAACTGATCTGATTCATATTAGTCTTTATTCATAATGGCTCCCGCAACTATGATTGACTATGGATAATTTAGAATAAATAGATTATTCAAGGATTAAAAACATGCTAACATATAACAAAATAACATTTAAATATAAAATAGATATGTCATATATCAAAAGAGATGACATGTCATTGTTGCATAATTCAAAATATCCATATATTAATAAAGTACATATTTAAATCCAATCCCTAGCTAATCGAAGCCTAGTTCCTTTTGTATAGCCTTCAAACTTATTTTGAGAAAGAAGCACCGTGAATGGATCCGCTAGATTATCATATGTATGAACCTTCTTAATGAGTATATTTCACAATTCCAATTCATGAAGAATGAAATTGTATTTCTGTTGAATATGTATAGTCTTGTTGGTAACCATTGGGTGTCCTGCGATAGTGATGGCACCAGTGTTGTCACAAAGCATCTCAATGTCATTTTTGATGCTTGGAACAACCTCCTGATCACCGATTAATTTCTTCATCCAATGAAGTTCATGACCTGCCTCTTACATAGCTATGTACTTAGATTCTGTTGTATATAGTGCAACCATTTCTTGCTTTGTAATTTTCGAGGCAATGACTCCTCCATTGAGGGTGAACACGTATCCTGACTGTAATCGAGAATCATCATGATCAGTGTTGAAGTTGACATCATTGTAACGTCTTACAACAAGCTCTTCGATAACTCCTCCATAAACAAAGGAACATATCCATAATCCTTCTTAAGTACTTAAGGATGTTCTTTACAACCATCCAATGTTTTCTGGCTGGATTAGCTTGATATCTATTTGTCAAACCCAATGCATAAGCTACATTGGGCATTATGCATTTCATAACATACATAATTAAACCTACTGTTGAAGCATATGGTTGTGAGAAAGATTTATAAGTGTGCGATTGTTCATAAAAAGGCTTGATTTAATACTTATGTATATTAAATCCAATCCTTGTATTCCATTTATAAGTTGTGAATCACTTTCGACCTTGTTTTCAAATCACTTTCACCATTGTTTTCAATTTCCAATGCTTTAATATATGATTCCTCTTGTCATTTTTCTTATTTTTTTTATATAAACAAATCTTACACTGTGCATTTTTTCCCATTATTTTTTTTTGTTTCTTTTGAAATTTAGGGATTTTGTATGCTTTTAATACAAGAGAGTGTCTTGGCCACTCCATCGAGGTGCTTCTGGTGGGGGAGATTGTCAGGGAATTCATGATTTCGTGGATTACTCTCAAATGAAATTTAAAATAGAGAATAAAGATTTACATAAGAATCATTTATCCCCTTCATGGAATTCGTTTTTATTTTTTTTTTATTTTTTTTTATCCAAACAACATGTTCCCATGGCTTTATTAATTCTTCCTGATCCATTCTTTCATTCTTTTAGTTGTATTCTTTTAAGAATATTTATAATTTAATAGACTCTTCATAGTTTTGTTGTAATTCTTTTAATATTTAAAAAATAAAGTTATAAGGATAACTCTATTCTTTCTGGAATGAGTGTATTCTTGTTGTTATTATGTAAAATTTTAATTAAATTATTTTTAAGAATACCTAACCTAATCAATAAATTCTTTTTTTTTCATGTAAAATTTGTTTAAATCATTTTGACAAGAATTGATCAATTAAAAAAAAGTCAATTCTTTCAAGAATGTCAGTGTATTATTCTTTTAAGAATGACGGTTATTTAACAAAACTTCAAGAACGTTCATCGATTTGAAGAAAATATTCATCAATTTGAAAATTCGATTTTAAAGGAATTAATAAATAGAAAATCTTGCAAAAATATAGTCATTTCAAAATATAAATTTATATAAATTGTCTATTATACCCTTTCAAAGAGATTAAGGTTGTTATATGATACATGTTATTCCATTTAAAAAAATACAACCTAAGATCATAGTCTATCATTTTTTTCATCCAATGGTCAAAATTTGTTATACATTCACATAATAATTATCATTTATATTCGAACATATCACTATATATATATATATATATATATATATATATATATATATATATAAGTTTCAACTGATTTAATTAGTGTCAAAAGAATCTTTCCACTAAAAGAAAAGCAAGCTTAAAAGATATCCAAAACATTATCATGAAGAAGAATAAACTTGATGGGAATATTGGTCTTAATATATATTACTATACGAATGCTAACTTATTTACAACTCAAACATTTTAAATACTTTACATTTTAAGTCCTATTTTGAAATTAAACTACATTTCATAGCTTCGTACAAAACGCTCAGGTTGTAAAGGCACGATGCTTATAATATTGACACCACTTGGATTTTGTCCTTGAAATGGTGTTGTACTGTTACATGCCCCACCTGACAATATCTTCTGGCATGTTTCTATGAGGGAGTGCCTACAGGTTGGGCAGGAGGAGTGTGAACTCAACCACTTATCGATGCATCGAATATGGAATCCATGGTTGCATTTTGGCAGAATTTTGACTTGTTCTTCTACGATGAACTCACTTAAGCATATCACGCATTCTTTGCCTAATCCAGGTAATTTCAGCCCTTCCCAATAGCTAACAACTGGGAAAGTCTTCAATGCCTTTTTCTTAATCCCAGTGTTGGCTAACCTAACTGGCGTGCTTTCCTGGCTAGTAATTGACTCAGAGTGAACTAAATTCGAGCATCTTAATACACACCTGATTATGGAGTTCAACCCTAAGGAACAAATGAGAGCACAGAGAAGCACTGATAGTACCATCACCACATTTGCATCAAAGCTTTTGTTTGCCGTATCTGTACTTGCTGTTGGTGAAGCTGCTATTGCCTCCACTGCTGTTCTCATCGTTGTTGACGCATGTAAGTACATAGGAGCGTCAAGTAGAAGTTTTCTTGAATGATGATTCACAAAGTTGGCTTGAAAAAGCATCATGGAGCTAGTGAGCATTTTTGCTTGTGTTTGAGGTATAAATCAGCTGCTAGTTTTGGTTGTAAATACAATTTCATGGAGTAGACTTGAAAGAGAATGCTATATATAATGGGAATAAAGTGAGCTCCACAAACAATAAAAAGGCAAATTCATCTGAACCTTTTGTACTGGAATTGAATATAATATAAAGAAACAAGAGGCAGTTTCAGAGGATCTTTTGAGCCACCATGTGGAATATATTGTCTTTCTTTTTATCAATCATTTTTGATCTTCCACTAAGTTTTGTGTATTGCATTTAGTAATGGATTCTCTAATCAAATGGATCCCACCCACTTACTTACTCCAAGTCAAATTATGCCATGTTCACATAATTTCAATCCTTGATCACTCATCACTCAATTCCCACGCGATGTATATATTTAAAAGGTAAAGTTCATGTTGTAAATAACGTATTTCAAACTTATTCTTATTTTCCATAATATGTTTAATAATATACAGTAATAACTAATAAGATAATTTGATTGTCGTTGGTTATAATTAAATATGTTGAATCTTGGACATTACTTAACACAACGACGAGAACAGGAGTAGTGGAGGCAATAACTCACCTGTTATGATATAATTCAGGGCCGTCTCAGACGGTGAGGTCACTGAGCGATAGGGACGACCGTCCAGGACGTATCTTTTAAAAACGCCCACAATTTTTATAGACTTTATTAATTATATGTTACACAAGATCGATCTTGAAAATATCATTAATAATTTTGCATCTCAAAAACAAAAAGAAGTATTTTTCTTTAAATATATGGATTTTGCAATAAAAAATGTTATATTTAGAAGCTAGTATAAATAATTTTCTTTCAATTATTGAGTCATTATAAAAAAATTTAAAAAAATTTGTGTATTTTGAGGATCTTTTTTTTTCTCTATCGTCTTGGGTCTAAAATAGGTTTGGAACGACCTTGATTTAATCCAATTACCATCACTTTTAATCAATGACGAGTAAAACTAGTGGTGGCGGGATATCATGCCTTAAAATGTTTAAACATCACTTCAATAGTAATAAAATTATAATTTAATTCTTACAATTGAAGCTTACGTGGTCTTATATCTTGAAATATATTCATAATTTTGTCATTAATGATACTTCTTAGAACATTTTTTTTCTATATACGACATTAAACTATCACTCAAAAATTGATCACTGATTTTGTTGCATATATCAGTTCTTATCAACTTCATTGCTGAAATGCGCGTTCCATACTTGTTGCAACGGGTAAGATCAAAGTAAGTTTCACAAGAAGATAAATCTTAGGAAATATTATATGCTTCTTTTCTCCGGTCATCTTTTTGGCAGCGTCTCCAATACTCTTCAAATCATTAAATCGATTATCTTCTCACACATCTTTATTGTAATTTCCAAGTTCAACTTCAAGAACTCAAAGATCATATTCTGTTGGAAACTCTTCCTGATAAAGTATAGCCATTTTCATTATTTTATCTAAATCGAAGGCTTTAAAAGACCCACTCGGGAACAAACAAGCAATACAAAGAAGTAAATTTGTGTTTACTTTATTAAAACGATGGTCCTCTTGAAGTTGCATATCAATCACCTCCTTAAATACATCAACTTAATAGTGGTGCAAGTTGTTAACCTAAGAAAAATAATATTTTATATATTAATAACTAATGACAAAACACAATAAATTTATAAATCAACATAGTAGTTGATAGTAACAAACATTACTAACATGTAAGCCACTTCGACGACTGTATCCATTATAATATGCATCTTCCATATCCCTATCCACGACTTCAACTTCATTTTTATCACAAAAAAGCTTCCCCTAAAATTGGTTCCGTCTTACATCCCTAACTTATTTAATTGTTTTTTTTTGAGCTAATTACTTGATTCATGACATTTACGATATCTTGTTCTTTAGTTTGAAGTATTTTATTCAACTAATCCATGACTCTCAGGATATCAACCATCAAGTGTAGACAAAACACAAAATCAAACGATTTTAACGACTTTAAGATGCAAAATGCTTCATCTTTATGATCACAATCACTATTATCTTTACCAAGGTCTTCAAGTACATCACAAATGAAAGAATATATAGTCCGGATATTTAATAAATATGCAAAATGAGAACCTCGTTGAGTATCAGATGGTCGTTTAATACCGACTTTGTGACATCCCCATTTTCACGGCCAGAAAATATCGATTTATTTATGCTTATTTAAATATCAGAGTATCCTTTTTGAAGAATAATATTGCGAAATTTGTTCCCAAAAAACATGATAATGATGTTATCAAAGCATTACCGAAGAAATGTATTTTTATTTATATTAAAACATTAGGATGTCATCGTCCATACAGAAACATAAGCATAACGGAATATTACAAGCCTTACAGTAGTTAAACTAGTGGCCTAATACTCCTTGAACTCTCAGCAATATATATCTTTCATATAGCCACCTGTGATACAATAAACTGAGTGGGTCAGGTTGGGAAACCTGGTGAGTAAATAGGGATTTCAATCCCACAATGTGATAATAATGTATATCTCAAACCTGCAATTCCATCTATTATCATTAATACAAACATATCATATCTCTAAAACAATTTATCCCATACCGTCGATTCCCATGTATAGATCCTATACAACTATCTTACAAGATCTAGCCTAAAGGATCATTATGAACAACAAACTGACGATGCTTCCTCGGAAATTCCCTCGTAGCAAACGAGGATCAATAAATACATCAAATGAGGGGAATGGAACAAGTTTCACCACGAGCCTACGTTCGTAAAAACACCAACATGACAATTAAGTCAGGGATAATTATCTAGATAATTATGCCTATCAGTGGTTTGACACCGTGAGGTATTTTACCCCCACACTCACCCTATCCGGCAACACAACATCAAACTTTGCCTAGCAGTGGTCTGACACCGTGAGGTATTTTACCCCCAGACTCATCCTATCCGGCAATACAACATTAGACATACCTGGTAGTGGTCTATTACTGACACACTCTATTAGGCAGTCTACGAAGTTCCCTCAATTACTTCGTGAAAGGAAACGCTGACACATGAAGCTCGTCTGATCACTTCATAAAAGAAACGATGACTCCAAAGCTCTTCAAAATAAAAAGTATGTGGAAATACTAATAAAGTACTCTCGTACGCTCCCGTACCCCGACACACAATAGTGTCAAAAAAGGACTTTGTACATGATAGTACTTCTGGCACATTATAGTACCCTGGTATAAGTAGGATTCCTACCCTAGAACATAATAATACCCTGGAACAAGCAGCACCTAAGACACATAGCTTTGAAAAAGACTTGGTACTTAGAAAGTACTTTTGTATGTATGACATACTCCACCGATCATCAATCTCCTCGAACAGAGTTTCTACTCTCTATTCCGATCACACACGTACCCTTAATAAGATACTACCCAATATCCCAACTTAATTGAACTAAGAATCTCTTTTAAGTCTTATTTCATCACTAAGCAAGCCTCCATTGCTTATAATCAACTTTCAATAGTAACTCTGTTTTGGCAACACTATCCTAATTTAGTGTAGTATTTTATATAGAGTATTAAGTTAAATTACATTTATCTTCACATTTATAATACTTCTATTATTATTATCATGTAAATACATCTCAACACATATAGAACCATGTCCGGTTCACTTAGCGTATATCATCAAATATACATATAACACATATTTCCTGAAAATAAGCATATAACTCACATATAAACTTTCAACGTATATTTAATACTTTTATTAATACTTTTATTAAAATCATGTTCATGAAAGGGACTATGCACTCACTTTGTTAAAGTGACGACTTAAAATTTGGGCAGCGCTTCGCTTCTAGCAACTGTCTTTTCCTTTGACGTAACCTAGCATTATTATCGCTAAGTTTTAGTCTAATATTTATTGCGACTAATTATTAGTCTAGATTCAACATTAACTCAAAGTCTACTATCATGATCTATCAAGTAAGGAACAACAAGGTAGGATTATATTGGAGGTAGGGTCCGTTTGGTATACTAAGTATACTGTATGGAAATCCCACTTTAAACACCTCACCGAATCACAACCTAGACATCTGTTTGATTAGGTGTGTAAGCCCATAACTATAATTCATATGTACTTGACCCGATAGTAGGATGGTCCTTTTGGGTTGCCTTCACCGGAGAAATTTGATAGGACTGATATTTGAGAAAGAGGTTATTTGTGATTTATTAATATATTATAAGAATAATATATTAATTGAGAAATCATATTATTTAATTGGTATGGTCAAGAATTAATTTTAAATTAATTTAGTGATCAAAAGAGACTGATTAAATTAACGGGGACTGATTAAGTAAATCAGTAATACATATAGTTTGGGCTAATGATCCATGTTGATTAGGATGGACTAATTTTATGTGGGAGTCCATGAAGAGTTAGTCCAAAGGGCTTATCATATGGATTATTGCACTAAAGGCCCAAGGAAGTGAATTAGGGTTTACAAGTGAAACCCTAGGAATTCCACACTATAAATGTAACCCCTAGCATCATCAAAAAGGTTCCTAAGAGTTCTAAGAAGAACCCTAGCCGTTTTTGTGTGCCTCCTAGCCTCTCTCTCATTATCCTCCATTTGCTTATGGTGTTTGTGACTTATTAGAGGCATCACATTTGAGGTGCTAAGCTCTTGAAAGGTCAAGTTCTACAAGCTACAACAAAGAGGTATTCATCTAACTAGTTTTTATGTTTCAAATATCAAAGTTGTATGCTAGTTGTAGGCTTCATGCTTTGGATAATTTTATCGCATGTATAATTTGAGAAAACTTAGGTCCAAAGCATTAGGGTTGTATGTGCACCATAGGGATGTTATAGTGCTGAAAACCCAACAATGGTATCAGAGCCATTGGTGTTTTCTGTTATATTGATGCATTGGTTAATTGTTCAAAGTTGAAAAAAATTGAAAAATTGTTGTCTGATCAAT